CGAGGTTGCAGGCTGCACGTGGTCTTGACTATATTTGAATCCACATCTTATCTGATTCCAAAATGCATACTTTGTTTTCTGGACTCTGCTTTCATCCACCAAGAGCCAGAGAGTCTCAAAAGATAGAGGGTCCAAATTCCTCATACAGTCTTCCGGGCCATAATGAGTCACCTAGAGAGTCCGGTGCCCTTTGGGATGCAGGAATAGCTGGCAGGAAGGCTCTCTACACAGATATTAACGTGCCCATGTCCCCATGTCCTGTTTTTGTCTTTCTAGGCATGCGGGTAATTCAGATGAAGAACTTCCATCATCTTCTGTTTTCACTATAACTCAATAATGATTTCTGCTGAGCTCTTGTATGCCCAACACTGTGCCCTAGGGAGACTGTTTTTTTTTTTTTTTAAATATTTTTGGGAGTCTGTCTTTACAGATGGTCCCTTTGAGTCTCGGGAGGCATTTGCTATTTTTAATTTTTATTTGTTTAATTTTGCTCTACAGGGATGTCCCTCTACCACTGTGCTGCATCTCCAGCTCATTTTCTTTTTTGTTTGGAGACAGAGTCTTGCTGAGTTGCTCAGGTTGGCTTCAAACTTGTGTGCATCACCACATCCAACTGTGTTTTTGACTCTTAACTTACTAGCCGTTTGACCCTGGAGCCAATCATTTACCATTCATGGTCCATAGCCTAAGATCCATAGCTCCTTCCCCTGGCCTTGCAGGACATTGGCTGACCTCTCCCTCCATCTCTAACCTTGTCCTAAACACTCTGATTGTCTCACTTCAGGCCACCTTGCCAAGCTCGCTCCTGTCCTCAGCCCTTGGTACTTGCTGCATGTTCTGCCCAGACTGCTCTTCACCCAGAGCTGGGCTTGACTGGCTCCTACCTGCCATTCAGGTCTCAGGTTGCTGTGTGCCCCTCGGGAGGCTGCCCTTCCTGCGTGTACAGCAGCCCCTCTCTGAGTCCCAGTCGAAAGGTGCTCTAGTGTTTCCATGGATTGTACAGCATGTGCTTTCCATATGTCTCCCCACTTCACGCCCCCATGAGGAATGCCCATTTCGTCAAATTCTCTCCTCCATGCACCTAAATGGTACCCGTCACATGGCACTCAGGCCTGGCTTCACCCATAAGGGAAGGGATGCACGAATGAATGAATGGAAGGTGCCACACACTGAGGGTGCTTCTGGCTGCAGGGCTGGTGGTGCAGGGGGTCTTTTGGGTTTTCTTGTCCCCGATTGGCAGGGACCATCCGAGGGGACCAGCATTTAAGGGTTCTGTGGCCATTTCTGCTGTCTCCAGCCCTGCACTTTTCCTCCTGGCCTTCCCTCCACCTGGCCTGCCCCCTACATCTGCCTCTGACCTGAACCTCACCGAACACCACCTGCTTCAGATTCTCCCCCGATTCCATTGGAAGAATTTGCTCCCTCCTCTGAGTTCTGCAGACTTCTTGCTGTATCTCTGTGTGGCATAAACGCCTGTCTCTGGACTGTAAGGAGCTTGAGGACAGAACCTTTGTATTCCTTTCTGGAACCCCTGGCACAGAGCAAGTGCTCCACAGACCTCTGGACAGGAAGATGGTGGAAGGTTTGGCTGGATGGGCTCGAAGGAGGAAGGCTTGGGAGGGGGTCACAGTGCGGGTAACACCCTGCCTCCGTGAACAGCCTCAGGCAGAGACCCCAAGACCAAGTTTCATTCTAGACTTTTTTTTTCTAGCTGGAACTTTAAGCAAATAGCTTTATCATCCGGTGCCTCAGTTTACATGTCTATAAAACGGAGATAACAGTAGTAACTCCACTTATGTGGCAATAGTCACACTGAGGCTTTTGTGAGAAATAAGTGATCTAATACTTTAAGGTGCCTGGCTCAATGCCTAGCACATCAAATATACTCAATAAATGTCAACTATTATTCTGGACGCAGGTCTGAGCCTAGTGTGGGGTTTCTCCTTCCCGCATTGGGGGCCACAGCTTTAGTCTAGAGACTCATTACAGAAAGCAGAGATTCAATGGGAATTCAGAAAAGGGTTCTCTTTGCTCACATCTCTTCCTACCTTTATTTCTTCCCTCAAGAAGTATTTTCTGAGCATCTGCTCTGTGACCCTGGGATTCTGCCCTGGTCGAGATGAGGCCACTGTCCGCCTGGGGCCTGCATTCTAGTGTAGGCAGTCAGAGGGTAAGCAGAAAATGAAACCAAAAGATTGTTTCAGATAGTGAATGTTCTATAACAAAAACAGGAGTATGTAATAAAGAGAGGCTGGAAGATCAGAGAGGTTTTCTGAGATGGTCTTTAGTGGAGGCACTTGGGAGAATGGTCCAGGCAGGGCGGAGCAGTCTGAGGGGCAGAGAGAAGACTAGAACGGCTACCTACCGAGGAGTGACCTGGAGGTGGAATGTAGGAGGTAGGGCATGGAGTCTGAGGGGTTGGCAGGGAGCAGAGCCTCAGGAAGGTGCTTTTTCTGAGAGGTTTGGATTTAATTCCAAGTTTGATGGGAAGCCCACTTGGGGTTGTAGGCATAGTGACATGATCTTAGGTTTTGAGATCATCCTGACTGCTGGATGAAGAATGGTCCAGGCAGGGATAGGACAGGTGAGAAATGACAACATCCCCACCCTGGGATTCCATTCAGAGTACCAATGTCCCCAACTTATGATGGTTCAATTTAATGATTTTCCACTCATGTTGGTGCAAAATTGACATATATTCGGCAGAAACCATGCTGGAAGATTTGAATTTTGGTCTTTCCTAGGCTAGCAACATGTGGTCAGGTCCCCTTGGGTGATACAGGGCAGTGTCAGTGAGACACCGCTGCCAGTCAGCCACACAGTTATGAGGGTGTACACCCCTGTTCCACGGTGTTGCTAAGCCAGGATGGGTGGTAGGTTGGGTTCATGAAGTGTGTTTTCAGCTTGGCAATAGTTCAACCTAGGTGGAGTTTATTGGAGGTTACCACATCATAAAGTCGGGTGCATCTGTGGTGTTTTGGGGACAGTGGGTACACAGGGCCTGCTGGTGTGTGTGGACATGGATGGTGAGCCCTCTAGGGTGACTCAAATGAATGAGATGAAATTATCACTTCTGTTGGGGCTGGGGGAGCAGACAGGGACCCTGAGTTTTTGGCTCAGCACAATGAAGGAGCAGGTTGAATCATTTCTTGGTAAGACTGAGGGAAGACCCTGCTGGAGAAGGTGGGCACTCGGGGTTTTGATCTGGATCTGGAGACGTGTAGGCTACTTTCAGAGAAAATATTCAAGTGGGGAAGCCATCAGGGTTAGTTGAAGAATACAAAGGTACAGTCCAGGGACTCAGCATAGAGACACTTTTAAAAGCATGTGAGACACCATAAGGTCACCTGGGGGGGGGAGAGGGAGGGGAAGGGGAGGGGCTGAAGGGGACCCTGGGAAACCTCAAGCCTCCAGCATCAGATGGAAGAGGAGCCAGGAAAGATGAAAGGAAAACCAGAAGGTGTCACAGAAGCCCAGCGATGACGGTGGCAAAGAGAAGGGTGACTGGCTATGATGGAAGCTGCTAAAGGGTAGAGAAAGGTGTGGGGTTTGTTTGGTGCCATGGAAGCTGGTGGGGACCTGGGTCCCTGGAGCTGGGAGCCAGTCAATGAAGAAAGTGCAGGTGTGGTGTAGGCAGGGTCTTTGGGTCTGCTGTTGTGAGAGAACAGAGGAAGGAGTGTCTGGAGATGGGATGAGGGAGGGATTTTTGTCTGTTCATGATGAGAGATATTATGGGATGTTTGTGTGCTGATGGGAGAGAGAGAGAGATCAGGCAGCGGGGGGAGAAATTTACCAGGCAGGAAAGACAGGATAATTGTAGGAGCAAAAGTCTTTGCAAGTGGGTTTCCAGGGCCCCCTCAGAATTAGGACAAGGGAGGCAGTGTCTGGGCCAGCTGTGGGTGGCAGGACCAGCTATACTAAAGGGACAGACAGCTGGGCCTCCTAACACACTGCATTCCCACCAAAAGGCCTGGTTTTTAGCACAGGTTCAGGTTTTCCTGTGGGACTTTGGGAAAATTACTGGATCTTTCTGGGTTGTGCTTCCCCTAGGGTGGTGATGGTGGGGTTATCACACTTGCCTATTTGAAAAATGCATCGGATAGATTCCCAACAGAGACATCACTGGCTTTGACCTGAGAGGAAGTTCGTCTCATAGGTCAGCAGGCTAATTTTAGATTCATAATTCTGCATTTCTTTCCCTACAGAGGAACTCGAAAGGGTACAAAAACCTGGCTCCATGAAACCAGGATCTGTCCTGGGACTTTTGAGTAAATGAACCTACTTTCCCCAACTGTAAAATGGGAAGGTGGGACTTGCTTCATAAAATGGGGACTGGGGTTAGTAGGTATAGGGTGCAGGCCATGAGGTGGGGGCTCAAATGAATGAGATGAAATTATCACTTCTGCTGGGGCTGGGGAAGGAGGCAGGGACCCTGTGCCCCGACTGTGTGCATTGATAGGGGTTCCTCTCTTCCCATTCCCCTCCTCAGCAGACCTAGCCCTTGAGGTTACAGGTCAACTTCTCTTTTTATTTACACCTGTGAAGGTACAGACTACCTGAGGTCAGCTTTCTCCTACTGTCCTTCCTTCCCTCCCAAACCTAGACACCGACCTCCCTCTTCCTGTCCTCCACCACCCCGCCCCCTCGCCCCCAAAGAGCCCAGTGCAGGGACTTGGGTGGCACGTGGTAGGCAGATGGACTCCATCGGCCTCCTCCTGCATCTCCTTTACAGACAAGATTGGCTTCCTGTTCCCCAAAGCAGCAGATTTCAAATGCACCTGATTGATTCACAAGGAACTTCTACTTCTGGGTACCAAGCAAAAGCCCCCTTTGACCTCTTGGACATCAGCCCTCAGGAGGACTAGGAGGTTGTAATGACACTTCCAGGGTAGAGGAGATGAGGAGGCTATGCTGGGTCCTAAGGATGTCCCACCCTGGCCCAGACAGACCCTCCCCTGCCTCCCCTGGAGCTTTCTGTGCCCAGAACCCCAAGTCCTTACCTTACTGGGAATGAGGATGGGCAGAGGCAGCAGAAGGATGGGCAGAAGCAACACAATCAGATAGGAGCGATAGGCCCACAGGCCCTGCCAGCAGGTGGCCATGGTGTGGACCAACTGGAGCTGCCAGAGCCACAGTCTCCAGGAGCCAAGGAACTGAAGGACCAAACAGAAGGCACAGCCAGTAGGTGGCCCCGGGGCAGGCTTATATAAAGCCAGTTGAGTGTTAACCATTGACCTACCCTGGCAATCACAGTGTTTTTGGAGCCAGGAGGTGGGAGTAGGGAGGAGGGACTTACTGGAGGAGGAAAGATCAGGAAGACTTTGCAAAGACAGGAAGGGGGAAAGGCCAAGGAATAAAAGCTTCAGATTCCTTCTAGAACTTAAGTCCAGAGTTAGCTCCTGTTTACAGAAGCTGCCGAGGGCTCTCACTGAGAAGGACAAGGGCTGTCACAAGAAGGGTGCTTGGAGAGTCTCCAGCAAGAACCCAAGTCCTCCCGGCCCAGCCTGTCTTTCTTCCCCCAAAGCCAATTCTCAGCTGAGCAATTGACACAGGCCTGGAGTGGGGTCCCTCAGACCCACCTACAGAGGCACCTTGCCGTCCTGGAGCTGCCAGTCTGAGATGGAGAGGCATGGAGCAAGCCCTTCCCCTCCTTCCAGGTGTCAAGGGAATTGTCAAACTCACCTGTCCTGAAAATTTCAGAGTCACTGTGTGACATTGATCTGCGGGCTTGACTCTCAGAAGAGTCTCTTCCTCTTCTGCAATAATTTCTTCCTCTTGCAAGGCTCCAATTAGACAATTCGTGTATGTTGAGCGTTGATGTGTGGTAGATGGACAATAAAGATTAGTTTCTTTCAGGTTCTTCCTGGTGGCCCCACCCTACCCTCCCCACTGCCATGGGAGACCAGCAAAGATTGTTTCTTATTTTGAAGATATACTTGATCCCTTCATATATCACTCATCTAGCCACCTACCTAACAAATATTTGCCACCAACTATGCACTATGTGCTCAGTGCTAAAGATACAGAAATTGAAATGCTAACATTTGTTCAGCATTCAGTACAGGCTTGTTAGTGTACTATTTCATTGCCTGTAAAACTACACCATGCGTTAGGTATTAACTATTCCTTTTTATTTTACAGAAGGGAAAACTGAGGCCTAAAGACATGGAGTGAGCCAGAATTCGAATATGCAAGGACACCTGGAGGAGAGGGCAACCAGGCCAAGGCTTAGAGGAGTCTAACTTAGCCACAAGGTGTCAGGGGACAATGTACAAGCAGGGGAGGATGAACTACAGCCTGGAGGTGGCGGTGTGTGTGTGTGTGTGCATGTCTGTATGTGTGTGTGTGCATGTCTGTATGTGTGTGTGTGTGGGGGCGCGCACTGCAGGGGGCATTCTGTGCTGTGGAGGAAATTGTGTGTCATCTATTTGGCCAGAAGCTCTGTCTCTTGTTGCCCTCACCCTCCTCATCCACACTGCACACAGTAGGTGCTGGGTTCATGTCCCTGATGATTACCAGAGTGTGGTGATCTCAGTGTGCCAGGATAAGAAGGCAGGGTGTCGGGGAGAGTGTTTCTGGCAGGGAATGCAGTCTGGCACGGGTGCAGAAGTTTGTGAAGTTGAGAGAACAGAAAGTTCTGTGTGGTTGGAATATGAATTTGGGGGGTCAGGATTGAGATTGGATAACCATGGGAGCAGAGTATACATGAGTATTCATGGCTGTTAGACCATGAAGGCATTCCTGGGCCCAGGGGGGTCTGTGTGAGAGAGACCCCCAGGCCCCTTCAGCGTGATCATAGAGTGGTGGATGGACCCAGGTTGAGGGCTCCTGGGGTCATCTCCAGGCTGGGTGGGAAGCTACAGTCACACGGGACAGATCAGCCACCCCCAGCCCCACTTAGGTCTTGGCCCCTTCACACCTACACAGCCAGCCTGCCCCTGCTTAGGGCAAAATAAGCAAGATCTAGAAAGCTCCCAGAGACAAAGGGTTTCAGATGGGCAGGACAATACCTTGATTCTATTTTACCTAGAAGAAGGCCTCTCCCATGGCCTGAGGCTCTGGAGGAGCCAAGGGAGCAACCAGGCTGGGCCTCATCCCTCAGGAACAACATTCACTACTTGTAAAATCTGCATCCAATTCAACTAACTCTCTGCATCAACCCGTGAGATTGGCTCACAGCAGTGAAGTGACTTGTCCAGAGTCCCACAGCATGTGAGTAATTTTTTTTTTAATATTTATTTATTTATTTATTTTTAGTTCTCGGCAGACACAACATCTTTGTTGGTATGTGGTGCTGAGGATCGAACCTGGCTGCACGCATGCCAGGCGAGCACGCTACCGCTTGAGCCACATGCCCAGCCCGCATGTGAGTAATTTTGAGAACCCAGATTCATTCCCAAGACTGCCCATGCCCTCCACTCAGCCCTCTATGCTCTGCGCTCCTTTGATGGAATGAGAACAAAACTCAGTGGTTCCCAAATTAGATGACCACTATTTTCCTGTTATCCCTGGCTTCAAAGTCACAGGCTTTGGGGACCTTTTATGATTCTCTTTTGAGGCTCAATGTTGGGGGCTATTTAATTCATCTCAAAGTCATTGTCCTGAGGCCAGTGGGAAGCCTCCAGCTGTCACACTCCTAGTGAGAACTTGGCCTTTGCCTGGCAATCACAGCCAGGGCCCACTCTGCCAAGCCTAGTTCGATTCCCCAGTTTGCCCCACCCTTTCTTTGATTAGTGCTGGCTCCTGATGGACTATGACCAACTCATGCAGATACACGCTGTCCTTCTTCAGTTCTCTGCAGGAGGACTTGGGTTCTTGCTGGAGACTCTCCAAGCACCCTTCCTTTTCCGTGGTAGGTCTCTGTATTATCTCGGGGGAAGTCATAACCAGGAAGCTCCTGCCTTGCACTTTGCTCATTGACCCTCCTGGAAAAGGCCAACAGAGAACAGCTGGAAATCTAGGGGAGAAGAGATGTGCCCAGTCTGCAGGTGTCAGCTTGTCCCCAGAAGTAGATGGCTGATAAGCTGGAGGTAAAGCTGGGGCTGGGGCACAGATGTAGCTTTTAAGGAGTTCATACCTGGATATGTGGGGTGGGCATTCAGAGGCTCCTGAGACAACCAGGGTTGAGCAGGCTAGGTCTGGAGCCCACTGGGGTTCATCCCAAGCAGTACAAGAAGGCAGGGATAGATGGGCTTGTTTTCAATTCCTGGCACCCAAAAATTTAATCCAGAGGCACTCAGCCACTGAGCCATGTCCCCAGCCCTTTTAAAAATGTTTTATTTAGAGACAGGGTCTCGCTGAGTTGCTTAGGGCCTCGCCATTGCTGAGGCTGGCTTTGAACTTGTGATCCTTCTGCCTCAGCCTCCTGAGCTGCTGGGATTATAGGGAAGTGTACTGCTCCTAGAGAGATGGATATTCTTGTACCAGGAATGATTTGTAAGATGTGGGACCGTCCAGCCTAGAGGACAGAAGACAAGGTGAAGGGAGAGTTAACAGGTCTTTGATTGAAGAAGAGGCCAGGGATGTGATCAAGGAGACAAAGAGAGGACCAGAAGGCAGCAGGGCTGGGAGGTCACACTGGGACTGTTTTCAAGAAAACCATTCTCCTGCAAAAGAGGTGCCCTCCTCCCAGGAGGCCTGACAGCAGGGAGCGGTGGAGGAGGGGGATGGGCATCTTGCTCACAGCTCTGAGAATCCTGGACCCCAGATCTGACTCCAGGTGCTGGACTGCACCTTCACCTTCCACGGCCTCTCTCCCTGGTCCACAGTTTGTCTTATATATGTTCATATCCACCACCCCTCCCCCCACACCTGGCAAAGTGCTCAAACATCCCTACAAGATCCAATCCTTGCTTTCCGCCTTGGCTCAGCCCTCACCATGTTTGCCTCTGACCCAGCAATAAGCCAGGCTCCACTGTTTTCAGATCCTCCTCCTCTGGGCTCTGTGTATTCTAAACACACCAAGGAGCTTATCTTAGGCATATTGTCCCTGCTCCTCCTCCCCCCTTTATTGGTTCCATCTTGTTTATCTTTCAAGTCTCAGCCTAAGACTGAGCCTCTGTTGTGAACTCTCACTACAGACTGAATTAGGGCCACTGCTTAGTGCCCTAGATGATCCCTGTCACACCTGACCCTGCACGTATCACACTGCATTGCATTCTCCTGATCACCTGCCTGGATCCCGCTCTAGACCATAAGCTCCATCAAGGCAGGGGCTGTCTGTCTGGCCCTGAGGTGGAGCTGGTACTCAGCAAATACATGTTGAAAGAATGAATGGGCAAATGGAGGGGTAGATGGGTGGATGGAATGCCCATAAGAGAATTGATAAAGATCACACCAGAGAGCCAGCCCCACCGACTAGCATGGTCTGGTCCCTGCAGTTCCAGTTAAGATATACGTGGGCTGTTGCTCAGATAACAAGGTGAAGAAGTGAATGGGTTTTTTACCACCATCAAGATGGCAATGAGAAGTCAGGGAGTAACCTCCCAGAGCTACCCTTTTCGCATTTGTATTTTTCTCCTCTGCATACCGCAAGCTGAGCTGGGATCCAAGGAGCATTCTAATCCCAAAGGGGCCCTGAAGCTCATTTATACACCATCCGCCAAGAGCCATCTCCCTGTATTGCCAAGCAGCTAACCTATCCCCTCTTCTCCCAAGGCTCTATGCCCAGCTCTTTTTAAAAATTGCAGTAAAGATGGACACAGTGGAGCACACCTGTGGTCCCAGTGACTCTGGAGACTGAAACAGGAAGATTGCAAGTTTGAGGCCAGCCTCAGCAACTTAGTAAAACTCTCAGCAACATAGCAAATTAAAAAAATAAAAAGATAAAAAGAGTTGGGATATAGTTCAGTAGTAGAGCACCCGTATTCAATCTCTAGCACCCTACCAAAAGTAACAAAAATACACATAAGAGAACTGTACACATCTTAACCATTTTATGTATACAATTCAATGCTATAAAGTATATTCACTGTTGTTCAATCAACTGCAAAGCTTTTCATCTTGCAAAACTGGAACTCCATACCTATTTACCAGCTCCTTATTTCTCTCTCCCTTAGCCCCTGGCAACTACTTCTACTTCTGGTTTCTAAAAGTTCGCTGTTAATACTTCCTAGGAATGAAATCTTACTGTCAGTCTTTTTGTGACTGGCTTATTCACTTAGC